TGTCTGTCTGTCTGTCTGTCTGTCTGTCTGTCTGTCTGTCTGTCTGTCCGTCTGTCTGTTTGTCTCTCTCTCTCTTTCTCTCTATCTATCTATCTATCTATCTATCTATCTATCTATCTAGCTATCTATCTATTTATCTCCCTCTCTCTCCCCCCCCCCCCCCTCTCTCACTGTTAGTTCGTCCATCTTATTGTCTTTGTGTCAGTCAGTTTGTTTGTCTTTCTTTCTCTCGCTCTGTCTTTTTCTCTAACTTTCCCACACACACACACACACACACACACAAACAAACACACACATACACACACACACACACACACACACACACACACACACACACACACACACACACACGCATATGCTCTTTCTGTCTTGTCAAAAATTTCCCTCAGTGTATTGGGAGTGTGGACTTTCAAGTTGCATGGAATTTTTAGCGTCCGTTTCGTAATTGCTATTTGCGTGGTGTATGGGCGCACAAACCAGCAAAAATGTTTAGTTAAATATACAAGCAAGTTCTGTTGCATTCTCTTTTCGCACAGAAATGACGCAAAAAACAACAACAAACAAGTTCCGTTCCTTTGGTTTCCGTACTCTGTGGGTGCCACCCTAACAGTACATAAACAATCAATTTGAGTAAAATGCCACATGAATCAATTACCAAACAAACAAACAAAAAAGAACAAACAAACCCAGAAGAAGCTGCGTCTACTTTCGAACTAACAATTACAGGTTGGAAGTCCAAACACAGAACCTGAATCGCCAATAGAAAATAACCAAGACAAAAGTACTCACATGAAGAAAATAAAGTTTACTCTACAGATGGGGAACACAAATAAGGCGGTTTGAAAAGGACCGTGATGCAACCAATGGTCTTGTTAGTTCGCTACCCTAGAATTTAACAATGTTCTAGCTGTTCAATACTTAGTTTTCAGGAATTTGACATTAAAAAATATGAGTTTCACACGTCAAGTTTTTTTTTAATGCATTTCCTTTGAAATCTTGATAACGATTCCAAAAGAATCTCATGATTTTGATAGAGCAGATAGAACATAATATAGTTTCTGAACTCATGATCTTAGTTGCTCAAAACGGCCCAAAATGCCAGTAAAAACTTTGTAATTCTGAGGTAGCGAGTTGTCTCTGACTCCGTCTACAGAGCTAATCATTGCGGACATTCCACCCGCTGTGGACACTATTCAGTTGGTTAGGAACTGTAAATGTGAAAATGTTTGGATGTCAGACATCCAATATCATTTGTACTAAATAATACGCATTATACTAAGCGAAATAAAAACTCATATAAATAATTCGTTTACGATATTTCGAAAGTTATTCTTTGTGCAACGATTCCAATCACTTGTACCAGATCCCTGCCGAAAAGTCCAAAATGCTTAATAGAATAATAATCACAGTCTGCTGATGAAACTCAAAAGGCAAAGAATATTAAAATACATTGTCATTTAAAGCAATTGTATCTGACAGATGATAATAATATGGTCCCAGATTCGTTATCGACAAGATGTGGAGTGGCTTTTGGGCTTTTAGGGGCAACAGAAAGCTGGAGAATCTCAAGTGCGTACCCATTCACATACAAACACACGCATAAACTAACAAACACATATTAAACACGCATGCGCAAACAAAAAACATTGAGGGAGAGAGAGACAGGTACAGAAACGAGAACATACAAATAGAGATAGACATGTTTACAAAAGAACAGAAAAAGAGAGGAAAAGTGCTAGAAAAAAACATAGGCTACACACACAAATCCAAGCACACAACCACAAAGAAAGAGAGAGAGAGAGAGAGAGAGAGAGAGAGAGAGAGAGAGAGAGAGAGAGAGAGAGAGAGAGAGAGAGAGAAAGGGGGGGTGGGGGCGAGAAGGGAGAGGGAGAATGGGTTGGTGTGAGAAACAGACGTACATAATATTGACAAACAGAGAGAAGACGGCACAGCAAAACCATAGAGCCAATGAGAAACAAATATACCGTCAGAAAAAAGTTGGGGGGGGGTGAAGAAAAAGAAGGGGCTGATGATGCATAAATACGTTCTGGCAAACACAAGCAGATTCACAAATGCACACAAACATATCAGCGGTCAGAGTATACGTGTGTGTATACTGAGGGAGTGAAGAGGCAAAAATATAGAGAAATAACAGAAAGGAGGGGGGCGGGAAAAGAGTTAAGGGTGGGAAGATCATCATAGTTTCCCTTGGTGTGTGTTGCTCATAAAAATATGCTTCTTTTTACAAACTATCTGTAATATAATATAGTGAAGCTTGTTTTAGCCTCTCTTACCAGTTGTTCACTTTTATACACAGGAAAGTAGTCGTGCACAAACACTTTCTAAATCACATACAAAGCCACACAAATAGGGACACACACACAAGCAACCACACCTACACACACACACACACACACACAAACACACTCACAAACACACACATACACACACGTAAACACACACACACAAATAAAACATACATGCAAACGCACACCAACACACAAACACACACACACACACAAAGACACACACACACACACACACACACACACACAAAGATACACAAATACACTGTCAGTTGAGCGCTCGCTCTTGCGTTTGGATATGCACGAGAACACACAAAGATAAGAACCTGAAAATGAATGCGACTCCCTGTTGTGCATGGTGAGAACATATCGGCTTTTGGCATTTTTCCTACTCTTTCCACATTGATACAATAATATTGTCTGCACACTTTTACCTTTTTCTGTGTGTTCTTTACTTTTTTTTTCGTCTGGATACCAGTATCTGAATGTCTCTGTATCTATCAATCCGAGCGAGTACATGTAATTGTACAGTTTGTGGGTTTCCTACCTTTCTCTTTGACCTGATGAGTGTGAGTGTTTCAAAGAGAGAGATTCTTTAAAAACCACTTTAAAAATTATTATCAGTCTCTCATTTCGACAGTTTTAAACATTATAATTACTTTCCTTTAACCAGCTGTATTTCTTGTGTCACTGGTTTTTATCCTCACACATTTCATTGGCTATCCAGCTTCACTCTTCTTCGTTCATCATCAACGACGTATTCACTAAAAAGCAATAAATTGTTTTGTATGTTCCTTTCAAGGATTCAAACAACACATTTATCCTCTTTTACTGTCTGCCCGATTAATTATCGACCCTCTCTCTCTCG